TAGAGCTGAGCGGCTGCGACTGGCGCTGCCCGAACGAGCCCGCTCTGAACACCAAAGCACCGCACGTGGGATTTACTTCAAGCCCCCCGAGCACAAGGCTCGGTGAAGCCCAATCCCCAGAACGCGGGACTTGGTCTCTGCCTCAAGCCCCTAAAATGCACAACTTGCTCTCTGTGAGCCCAGATCCTCGCTCTGAGGGACCGGGGTTTCACGTCCCCAAATCTCAACTCGGTTCATCGCTGTCTGCACTTGGCCAGCGCAGCCTGGCTTTGAGAGTCAATCGGCGGCACTCGGTCTCTGAAGCCTGGACTCGCTTGGTCGGGCCGAAACCCCGAAACCAGGGCTCAGTCAGTGTGCCTGAACCCCAAATGCAGGCCGGACGTGAGCCCGGGTTCAGAGTCCAAAACGCAGGATTCGGTCTCTGGTTTTAAGCTCTGAGCCTGAATTTTGAGCCCCTCAAACGCGGCACTCGCCGCCCTTTGTGAAGCCCCAAAGTGATGGGCTGAGTCTGGTTCTGAGCTCCCGAAACACAGCCAAGGGTCTCTGTGAGCCACAGCTGCAGGACTGGGGCTCAGCTCCGAGCCCCCAAAGGCAGCGCCGGCTGTCTCTGGGAGCCCCAGCAGCCGCTCAGTCACTTCCCACCTCGCAGTGGGATCAGGAGGGGAATCAGAAACTATAAATACATAATAATGGAACAATAGTGACAGTACATGACAGTACAATGGGAGAAACAGGGATAACAACCATGATGAAGAGATTAAAAACTAAATTTTGTTAATACATACACACCTCAGAAATTTTATTAAAACCAATGTCAGTAATTCCTGATGCATATCAGGACAAACAGTATTTGGGAAGTCTTTTGTTCTTCAGCAGAAGGCTTCTTCAAAGGAACTGGATAAACTGGCATTGGTGATCAAAAGTAACTGTTCTTGAAATATCAGGGGTGAAATTTCAGCCATTTTAAAGGTCAGGTGCTGCCTCCAGTTGTGTTTCTGCCAGAGCAGAGACTTCTGGTTTTCCCAGAAAGCCACAGCTGATTTTGAAAGGTGGAATGTTTTGTGAAGGTGGTGATTTCTGATTTGTGTCTGCATCCTGCAGTGTAGATTTCAGAGTGGAATCTGCAGCAGGGATGGAATTGTCGCCCATTTATAAAAAGGCATGGAACACCGGTGTGCCTGAACTGAATTCTTCTGTTAAACTGCATTTCCTTTGAATTTGATCCAGTTTGAGTATTTACATTTTGATGCCTGTTGCATAATGCCTGTATCCAGTGGGAATTCTCCCAAGAGAGGAGCTCCTCCTCCTGCCTCAGGAGAAGGGGCTGTTGGAACGCCTCGGCCAGCGAAGCTGTGCTGGACTGCACTGACAGGAAAGCCCCCATTGGTTTGGGGGCTCATTGCGCCGGGTGCTGAGGGTGGGAATGAGTTCTTGAGCTGTGAGGAGCTTGCAGAAAGTGTCCTCTGCTCTCTGAGCCCCAGTGAGTGAATATGGGCTTGTTAACCCTGCAGTAAGAACTGTGCCAAGGTTTATTCCAACGCGGTGTCTTTGGAACAGGCTGCAGAATGTGCTGGGAAATTGTTCCTCTTCCACTCTTCTCTGCCAACTGCGGAAGCACCAGGGAAGCTGAAAAAGGAGAGATGACAAGAAACTGCTCAACACAGATAAGGAAAAGGTATTTTCTGCTCTGAGCTACGAGGGGACTGCTGGTACATGGCATTTGTCTAACAGGACACTGATCTTCTTTTGTGTATTTTCTTTAACACAGCATGGAGTGCAAGGCAGTTGTATAAAGAGGTGTTGCTGCTGGATACTGACCTGTGCCTTCGTTTTTGTACTCAAGTGACATTACTTACATGGCAATTGTTATTGCTGTGGCATTCCTTGTGACCTCTCTATTCAAGAGCAGTTCTCCATTGCTAAACCTCACTTCCCCCTCTACAGACTGTAGGAGTTTTTATGATGTTAATATGAATAACTTATTCTATAATGTCTGAGGTGTCCCCGAGACCCACAGGTGTGCAGGTGCTACAGCTGCCAGCAGCACTGCCAGGAGCTTTTTGGTTTCAAAAACTGCTTGAGAGCCAACCTGCCCAGCACACCCAGCATTCCAGCCAGCTTCTTGTAAGCAGCGCTGTCAGAGTGCACAGAATTCTCTAGCTGATGGCTGATTTACACCCAGTGACCTGCTCCTGCCCAGGGTCTTCAGTTCCCTCTGAAGCCAGATGCTGAGACATCCTGAGTACCTTGTCAGTGCAGGTGTTGAATCCTTCACTGAGTTCTCAGGGGGGCAAGACAATGCAATGATTCCAAACCTCCTCCAGAATGGAAAGACAGGACAGGCACCCCAAATCAGCCTGGAGGCCTTGTGCATTTAATAAAAGTGGAAAGGAAGAAACTCATCAGGCTTTTTTATCTTCCAGGAGAGCATGCTCAAATTAAGTCTTCCTTTACCTGTGCTAAGTGAAATAAATATTCATCAGCTCAGTGATTGTGAGCCTTATCCTCCCCTTCCTCTGGAGGTGCAACAAGTGAGAAATTAACTGACAGCCACTAATGGGATTAAAAGCTTTTCATCTCTGGTCACCATTTCTGTGTGGTCCAAATCCTAGTGACCAAGAAAATGGCCTGATGTTCTTCCTGTATAACGGGCCATGTGGGACTGTGTCTCACTCCAGTACTTCCCAAGTGTGATCTCTCCCCACAGGGACATGGGCCAGGATTTGGGAGCGCGCTGCCCTGCCCTGCTGCCCTACCTGTGCAGCCTTGGTCAGTCTGTCACTGCTCAAGTGCCACCTTCACACGAGCAGGGGTAGTGCTGTTCTTCATGGAGGACAATGCAGAGGTGGAGTTCCTTGTCCATTAACCTCAATTAAAACATTCCATCAGTTGCTCATTAACAACACAGACATCAGACTTCGCAGGCAAAGGTGCCCATCCAGACAGCTCTAATCTAACACTCGATGCAGCACTGTTCTTTTTTATTTCCCTTACAGTAACTGAGCTGTTTCTGCTTTGAGGAGAGGAACCAAGAAACCTCCATCACCTGCCACTTCTTTCCAGTCAGTGACGTCTTGAGCAGCACCGCAGCTTCTGCAAACTGATACAGAAGCACATCAGATCCCCTTGTTTTGAACCCTCCTCTTCCCTTTAGCCTAAGTGTATGTTAAGAGCAGCCCATTCACTGAACTACCAGTATTGGGCATGGAACTGAAAGGGGGAAATAGAAATGAGCATTTTCTACTCAGTGAACAAGAAAATATTTGTCCACGGCACAAAAGCAGTGTTCCTAAGGTAAAGTGCCATTATTTTTTGAATAACAACACAATCAGGGCAAAAATCACCAAACAAGAAGTGTCCCTACTGGGGCATTTACCTTCTTTCTCTCTGTTCCTTATAGCCTGTGGCAAACTTCACCAGTGACCAGATGGACATCACCTTTAAAACTCCCCCAAATCCAGTCACTCTCCAGATGTGCACATATGACAGAGGAAGAAACAAGCTGTCAACAACAGGAAGTTTCCATTGGCACCACGGCAATCCCTGCTCAACACTACCAAAGCCAGGGAGTTCCCCGGCCCATCAAAACCTTCCAAATCAAAAGAACACTTCCAGTCTACAGCAGCACAGAGGAAACCACTTGGCAATTCCAAAACCTCAAGGAGAACAAACCCACAAAATATTAAGAAAGATATTTCCACATCAGCTTTGATAAACATGTTTAATAATCTGCTACTTTACAGGACAGTCATTTAAAAGCTGGGCTTCGAGAGCAACAAGAGAGACTTGAACGCCACTTTTCCAAAACCCACACATCAGACCTTGAGACATCAAAAGCCGGGTTTGTTCAGCCTACCAAGAACCGCACAAGAAGCTAAGAGCTGTGGTTCTGCTAAAAACAGACATTGTACCTAGGGAAGGGGGTCAGTGTCCTTCCACACTGCACTGGATCAGCAACAGCCCTTCCCAAATGTGTGCCCCACCCCTCAGGCAGAGGCAGTGCTCAGTTCCAGCCGTGCTCCCACAGGCTCACACCACTCCGTGTGCAGTCCTCGCTCTGCAGTGATGCTGCTGCTCCTCCCTCCCTCCGGGGAACAAAGGTGCTACAGACACACGCTGGGGAAAATCCCCATCCCAGGAAAAACCCAGGCCTGTGCACAACTTCTGGGCTGTACAGAAAAGCACAACTTGGTGCTCTGCAGGAAGGACGACACACAGCTGCACAGAACCGCCACACTCCCCACTACTGACACCACAGGCGAGTGCAGATACACCACAAATTAAAAATTAACCTTTTCCTATTCCCAGGAATAATTTGGGAAGTTTAAACCAAATAAGAAAAAATAGAATTCTATTTATTTCATTTGCTCCTTGGTTTCAGAGAAGTTAAAATAGGTGTCAATACAGACACAGCAACTTTTTCTTCCATAGGACAGCAAGTCTGCTGTGGCCACGCAACTCAGAACTGCATTTTGTGCCCTCTCCACCATATTAATGCAATCCAGTCCAAACCCAAACCTCCAAAGATGGAGGAGGAATCCGTGTTTTGGAGAAAATGCAGTTGAAAAAGCAGTCTCCAAATTGCAAGGTTCCTAAGGGAAGAGCAAGGGGGTCACTTCCATCCTACCCGTGGTGTGAAGGGCCAGTGCTCTCTGCTCTGAGTTCAGTGCTGCCTGTGCAGGACGTGGCCGGGCGAGGGGCTGTGCCACACCTGGCAAGGCTGACTGTCTGCAACGGCGTGCACCAAGACCATTGTAAAAGTCATGTGCCTTGAGTCCCCAGAGGAATTCACTGTAGGAAAAACAAGACTACAGAAAAGACTCTCAGGCAAGGCGTGGGCCGGGGGAAGCAGCTGTCACCTCCTCAGCGGGTTGGGAATCCCCCTCGATGGGTGCCTCCACGGCCCCCTCTGAAGCCGCCCCGCTCACCGCGGAAGTTGGTCCTGTTCCTCTCCCTGCCCCTTTCTCCCCGTCCCGCCGAAGTCCCTCCTCTTCCTCCTCCCCTGGGAGCTCCCCCGCCCCGGTCAGACTTGGACTTGGGCGGTGGGGACTTGGGCCGCAGCCTCTCGATCTCCTCGGTGCAGCCGGTCAGGTGGGAATTGGGAGCCGTGAAATATGAGGAATACGTTTCCGCGTTGAAGTTGCTGTTTGTGAGGGTGGGTCCCACCGTCAGCCAACCTTGGGAACAAAACCACAGTCAGCAGCAGCAACAACAAACTTCAGGCTTCACTGCTGAACTTCTCCCAGGGAATGAACACCCAAGAGAGGGGGAGAAACACTCACCTACACATCAGCGGCACTGAACAGAATGAAAAGTCACCTCTAGGGTCGCTGCAAAGTTCAGATTTTAGCTGGGTATTTCTAAGGGCTTATTTTAATTTTCTAAATTATTTTCATTACCCATGGCTGTGGCAACATTGATGCTGTGCTTTCACCAGCCCCTACCCCTTCTTCCTACTTGTCCATGTACCACAACAGTGTTTTTAAAAAGTATGTAAGTTTAACCAGAGTAACCGGACTCTGTGAGACACTGACACACAAAATCCACTGGCAGCAGGACTGAACACCTGAACCACGTGTCCTGATCCGTGCATTTCTTGCACTCTGCACCAGGCCAGATGCAGCACCCACTGTGAGATACTGCACCTTCAGACACTGGCAACAGCACTAAGCTGGTAGGGGTTGAAAAGAAAGAAATCACTTTTCTGAGAAGTGTAAACATATGGGAGGAAAAGGAATCTCAACTGGATTTTGTTATGCTCACTGATGAATTAAACACATGGGTGGGCAAAAATATTGGTTAACAAAAATCCCTCGTCTGAAAAAACTATAGAAATAGTATATAAATAGTAAATATAACTATATATATATAATATATAGAAATGATAGTTGTTATAAACTTTCCAAACAACAGCTCTGTGACTGACAGGTTTCCACACACACCAAAAATGTATCTCCTTGAGATCTGCTGCCTGATCTGTGACAGATCTGGAAATCTCTTTAGGAGCCTGAAATGAGTTTCACTGTTTGACCCAAACCAGCACAGCAGTTACCTGGTCGAATCGTGCTGTCCCTCCCAAAGAGGTGAAGCCGCCGTCGCCCGAGGCAGAAATGCTCAATGATGTGGAAAATCTCCACGGGTTTCTCAATGTTGCCGATCTCAGGCTCCTCGGTGATGATGAGGTCGATGTCTACGTTGGCGTGGATGAAGTCGCCGTCGGTGCTGCGGCGCACGGTGCCCTTGATGCCCATGAGGCAGTGCTCCTGCAGACACACGGAGCTGTCACCTGTCACACCCCTACTGCTGTGCCAGGTGAGCACAAGGGACAGCAGGGCAGTTCTAAGCACGGCACACCCCGCTCTTACAGGAGAGAAATGAACTAGAGCAGAAAAGCTGGAGCTACCCAAGGAGCCATTTGAGAACAAAGCAGAGCAGTACTTTAAGCTGAAGCTCGATAAACTACACCAGGAGGTGTGTAAAGCAAGGCTGAAGTCAGGTATTTGGACTTCAATTACAGAACTTTAGGCTGGAAAGGCTGAGAAGTCTCCACAAGGCAGAAGAGAAAAATGTGATGGCAAGAGCAAGGAATGGTTATTAATTATGATTAATACCTGTCTTAGCATTCTGATCCTGATTTCATTAATATAATAATTTTACAAGTTTTCAGTCATAAAATAGGGAGTGGAAATAAGATGTACTTTTTGATACTGTACCTCTGTTAATAAAGTAGCCCACAGAACTCCCCTCAGGTTGCTTTCCAGATCTTACTGCATAAAAGCCCACAACCGCTATCACATGGTCAGGGCACTCTCAGGCAGCTCATCAGCATTACAGGTGCTCCTGAGCTGTAACATGCATTGCTTTCCTTCCACAACACTGCAGACCAATTTAACTGAGTGATATGTGGCACCCGTGACTGAGGAATCACCATGATTGTTCCAGGATGAAAAGAGGCTCCTACATACTCATTTCAGAGCTCTGTTTCTGGGAATGTCAAACTTGGATGAGCCATGTTCCCCAGGATCAAAGACTCTGACTCACTAAGCGCCACCAGATGGCTCAGGAAGCAGTTGCAGACAAGAGCATGTAGTCATTCCCAAATTTTGGAAAGGGTTTGCAGAGTTGGTGGGTAAACACGCAAGGCACAACATCAGACCTGTCAAATCTGTGCAGATGGTATTGCACTCCAGCAACATGGGTTTGGACCTGGAATCTACCTGAGTGAAAGGCAGGATACTGCCTAGCAAATCACCCAGCAAGCCAAGACTCCTCAGTCCAGTCCTTAGGAGAACTATCCCAAACATTTGACTTCCATACCACACACCATGTCACTCCCAAACACCTGGGATCCTCTGACAGGTGGCACAGCTCTGAGCACCCATGGAGAGATGCCTCAGCCCAACAGAGCAGAAGCTGCTCTAAGCACTGGCAAACGCAGCTTGCCAACAGTGTTTGTTTAGTCAGAGCAAACTCACTCCATTTTCAGTTTAGCACAAACAGTGACCTCAGCCCAACTCTCGCTCCATAAACAGAGCAATTCCCCCATACCAGAAACTATTTTTATTTGCTAAACAAAGACAAAGTCCCCTCAAATCCTCCTGTGTTAGTTTTAACCTTGCCCTCACAAGCAAACTTCACATATTTGCAAAACTATTTGCAATAAACACACAATATTTATACATATAAATATTTATAATTAATACAACGCACATTCAAACAAACTTCAGATTAATGTAAATGCAAGTCAGAGAAAGATTCCAGATATCCTAAAGGGAAGTTTATACTCCCAACAATGGCCAGTTTGAGACTTGAGGATGTTTAATGCTAATGAATGATTAATGAATGAGGAAGGAGTCCTGATGTTCAGTGACACTTGAAATGAATAAATTGCCAACCAGCTCTCTGTACCCAGTAAAACTGTCAGTTACACTCAAACATGCCCAAACCAATTATTTATGAGTCCCATTTACACTTCTCTAAGTTTCTGAACAACAGACATTTTAAGTCACAAACCAGAACACTTTTTTTTCTCTGCACCTCCTTCAATACACATCCTCCACCAAGCATTTAAAAAACAAATGTTTGTTTTAAACCGAGCTGACCCATTCTATCACTTGTGCTGTACAATCACCTCCAGGAAGGCAGGAGATGCCCTTTGAGCTCTGGCTCCCCCAGACCTCTCTCGGGTCCAAGCTCTGGGTGCACACCTGCTCATGTGCCTTTAGAACCAATAGCCAATCTCCTATAGTTACACTTTATTTTGATTCGGTTAAAATCTACAGATTTAAAGACTTCTTTTGACAATGAATTTAGTCAAATCCTATTGCTAAGTTTAGTTCCATAAAATGTGCTTTTGCAGAACAGAACTTGGAAGTCCTCTAACACCGGGTGTGTCATTAGCACACAGACACAGAATGGAAACAGAGGAGGAATGGAGCCAATCCTTTACCTTGGTTCTTTGGAAGACAGCCTTAGGGTCTAGAGTCTTGGTCTTGCCAGGGTTGTTCTTATTTGTTTTAATCCAGCAAATGTCCTCACATCTTCTGTAACCCCATTTGCGCAGACACTGAATGTTATAAACAAGTAAAACAGTTCACACCACACAAAAACATCAAGTGACCTGAACACTCACTTAGACACTTGACTTTTCTCATTCTAAGACTGTCCAGCTACCACAAACCCATCTATGACCAAACCAAATCTATCTGGCCAACTTCAGACTGAAAAACAGCTGAAGCACATAGATCAGTAACCACAGGCTGCCCTTAAACAGTTGCCTGTCGCTGCTCGACTAAATAAAGAATGTTTCAGCACAGCAGGAGCCAATTGGGAATTCTTAGTGCAGTGTTTCCCTGGCACGCAGAAAGATGACAATTGTATCTCAATTTATGAAACAGTAGGACCTTTCTCCTAGCATGAAGATTTCTGGCAGAAAACTACTGAGACTTCTGTTAAGAAAGTTGTGACTTGGCAACCTGCTCCTCTGTGAACACGCATACATCAAAACCAAGACCCCAAGGAATTATGCTTCCTCACATAGCCAGTGACTCATCTGGACATTTACAGTATTTAAACAGTTAATGCCATTTAAAATCACATAACGAAACATCCCTCTGTAGTTAGGGCTGAGAATTCTATACAGGGAAAAGTCAAAGATAAAAATAAACTCTGAAGCCTGCCCCTGATAAATTGAATTAAAACAACATCTTACCACTCGGCCGAGATCCAGACCCTCGCCTGAGCCGCACCACAGAAACACAAATGACCTTGGGGCTGCAATTTCTTCAATTTCCAGTTTCATGATCTAGTAACAATAAGTGCAATAAAAGCGTTCCTGAATTAAATACGAATCACCAGTTGTATCAGGAAGAATATCATGAATCTTGAGGAACTGTCACAGAAACCATCAGGAAGCACACCTGGGGGCCCAAGGGAAGCAGGGAACTAATTCCTTGTTTTGCTTTGCCTGTGTGCATGGCTTTTGCTTTCCCCATTAAACTGTCTTTGTCTCAAGGCATGAATTTTCCAGCTTCTACCTTTCCAATTCTCTCCCTGATCCCACTGGTGGGGGAGAGAGCAAGTGGCTGTCTGGGATGGAACCATCACAAACAGAAATTCTACCTTTATAAAAAATGCTAGACTTAGAAGACCAATACAACCCAAATGATCTCCTCAAATCCCTGCTTTGTTTTATCATTCTACTGGCAGCAAAAATATTTAATACAGAAGCAACAGTACTGTTTCTTTTCCTAAGTACTTACATGAGAGTTGTGAAGAGGTTCTAAAAATCCCAGCTTAATTCCTATCAATAAATAGGAAAGACATTCTCTCCATTTTCACTTTCAGGAGAAGCAGCCAGAATTTGTGAGGACAGTGGTTCAACAATGGCAAATGAGTAACATTCAAGATGAAGTAACTTTGGATGCAAAGCATCTGTTAATCATTGCAAGCTGAAAGGATTCATCTCTAACTTGCAAGCACATCAAATCAAGCCTCATTCAGTGCCTCTCCAAGGAAAAATAACGCAGTAGGAGCCATCATAAGAGCATGTAACTCCAAACTAGCAGGGTGAGTCCTGCCTCCAACACTCCAGTTTTTCTGTTAGGGTGCACTGCCAGGCACCATTTTTGAATAAACACCAGAGAAAGACTTCCACAAGTGATGTTTATCTCTTTTGTTAATTTTTTAGGGATTATTACTGGTTTGACCATTAAAATTTCCTGCTCAATTAATACTTTGAGAATGGAGGAATGTCAGTAAAGCAAACTTACCTGCACTTTTTACTAGAAGACCAGCATATTTAAGAGCACACGTTAAGAAGCTGAAGAATTTCAAGAAGCAAGGGAACATTTTCAATGGACATTTGGTATTTCAACAGCCAAAAATCAAACAGAAACCTCAGTGAAGGTGAGGGCAGAGAGAAAACCTGTTATTAATAAGTTAAATTTTTCAGCCAGGCTCAGAGAGAACAAAAAGTTGTATTTACTAAATTCAACCCTGAGGCTATTTGCTTAAACGAATGTATGAAATGTTCTTCACTTACATCATCCCAGGTCCAGCATTTTTCATTGGCAGTAATGCCAGTCTCTCGGTAATATTCTTCCAATGGTGGCTCCAGGAGAATCACATCAAATTTGGACTTCAGTTCCCTAATATCAAAGGCTTCCAAGTCTGCTTGCAAATACCTGTTCAAACAGAAGATGCCAGACTGCTTGGACAAGGTGAAACAGTGGCCTGGAATCTACACTCCACACAGCCCCTCTGTGCAGCCAGTTAAGAGCAGGGTCTCCTGGGCGGGCTCTACACATCAAATGCTCAAAACCCAGAGGAGATCCATTACACATCCTCACTTAATCGAGGCTGGATGCTATTGCATTGTGTTTTTTAAGTAGTCTTAATAAACAGTCTTTAGGACTCTAACTCAGCAAGCAGGAATCAGATGCCCACTCAGACTGTACAACAATACCTCGTGCAGACTCACTGCACTTTCTGTATGCCCATGGACTGTAACAGGAGGAAACAAACATTTAAGAAGCTGACACTCACTGTCTGGCTAACTGGGAAAGTGGGATATTTTTAGAATTATTCCAAAGATTCCAAATACTGGAAACATTGTTACTTTTATATAGTATACATGTCTTTCTCTATTCCTGTACCAAGCAAAATTCACCTCACATTGATTCTATTAAATACACACTCACACACTTACAACTCTCCTCCACACCTGCACAGCACTCACTGCTCTATCACTATCAAAAAATTACACTGCCCTCACCTAAATTCCTTTAACCTTGGTAAAGCTATCAGTAGACCACCACCTTCGCCTTCCCAGAAAGTGTGTGGAAGAGATTCCATATGTGCACTTGGAGCCATCAGAAGGCAGCATTTCATTATTTGTTTTCCCCCTTTTGTACTTCATGACCAAAATATGTCTCCCTTAGAAGATAAGGCTGAGTCTTGCACTTTGCACTCAGAACTATTTCATGGGGTTTTACCTGACTATCATTAAATAATGTGGATTTTTGTGGTATAGATTAAGTGTGCTGCACAGGACAAACATAACGTTAAGTTCAGAGAGGTCTGAATCCCTGGAGTAACTCGCTGCACACTGAGGCTGTGTTTGACATTCAGCATAAACTCTGAGGCAATTCCAAGTCAATAAGGACAAACGACTTCCAGTCAGCTAAACATTGCTGTCTTCAACTCCAAAGCGATTGATGGATACTGAGATAATTAGCTGAACACTCTACAAAACCCAGCTGCTACAAGAGAAGCTAAGGTTGCAATAAGAGGCCAATTTTTAAAAGCTCTTCTTGCTGTCATAAAACACATGGTAACATGAGATTCACCACCACATGACATTCTTTTAGTTCCCAAATTAAAGCCTGCAGCCAAATCAGTTGACAATTTGGTCTTTAAAAAAATCAAAGCTTTAGAGACTATAAATAATCACACACCAGAAAGAAAATCTAGTTTATACACTGCATTAAACATCTAGATTAAACTAACAAAACCAGAGTGATCTTACTCTTCCATGCTTCAATTGATTCATTTGTATACACAAACAGAAACAGAAAATGTAAATTCTAAGCAGGTGCCGAAGATAGAGATTTGCAAAGCAGATAGCTAACTTCAAACAGGTCTGGAGAAGAAAGGCATTTTCCACAAGAACACTTACATGGGAGGAGTGTTAGATTTAGATATCAGCTCATCCTTCAATCTGATGAGCTCTCTAAGTTTTGGATATTCTTCAAACCTATCTGCTAAGCCTAAGAAGAAGAAAACATGAAGTTAACAACTAAACAGAGTAAATCTCTATCAATTAAGCATTGTCCACTATTCTGAATAGGTGCAAATGTTAATACTTAGCCTCATTTTAATTTTTGTTAGAACAAAGCAAACCCTTTAAAGCAGTTTTTCATTCAGTACTTGACAAAAGCCTCCTGTCCTCACCCATCTGATCAGGGCTGTTACTGATGCAGTGTCTCTGATCTTCTCCAGAGCACTACACTGGATGAGGGATTCACAACTCCAGTTACCAGACCGAAACAACCTTTCATTTCAACTTTCATTTCAAAGTGCCAGGATGGTGGTGAAAGAAGTTATTTTGGTTTTCCCCCTCCATAAATTTCTATTAAGATCTGACTAACATCAATTCACAGCACTGTCTGTGTAATCTTGGATGACTGCTTTCAAGGTGGCACCTGGAGTGTGGCTGGTTCCCTGGGGCAACCCTTTCACTGAGATTTGGTGCTGTGGTGGCAGTCATGAAGATCTGAACACATGTTCCTACATTTACCTTTATGATGTCAATTTTCCAGCCTTTCATGTGTACAGAATGCAAAGGAGAGAATCCTCATTAGGTCTTTTGCAGCAAATGTTGTAAAAAGGAAAATATACTTTCAAGTATATTTCATTCTCCCTTAGAGACAATGGGTTTGCTATTGCCAGCAGCAGGTTCAGCATAAACCAACAAGGTGCCACTCCTGCTTCCCAAGCAGTAGCACTTCAGCTTTAGCAGAAGTTACTTAAAAGGCTTCATTTTCATTTAAAAGTACAACTTGGAATGGTATTAAATTGGAGAAAAAAACCTCAACCAAACCCACAAACCCTTCATCTTTCTCCATATTTTAATTCAAACTTCTTAAGTCCCAATCCCAGGAATGCAATGATAAAAGCAAAGTTCTCGGTACATAACCTTTATAATCTCTTGCTACCTGTGCATAAAACACCTAAAAGTTATTTCCATCCTTTTCCTTACATATGTAACAGCTTAAAACTACTTTGTTCTCCTGATTTCCACCACTGTGCTGCTTCCAGCCATTTTAAGTCCAATACCCATGGGCAGCAGAGACAAACTAGGGTTTGAGGGTTTTCAATCAAAAGTTTTCAATCAAAAGTCCTCAAACTAGACCCACAGGTGTCTCCCTCTCTTCCAACAGCAACATCAAAAAGATACAGCTGGCTGTTCCAGAACCACTTGTTTTTCTTTGGGCCACATCCACTACCCCTCAGCAGAGTTGTGACTGTGGTGGAGGAAACGTGTGCTCACCAATGTGTAGCTTGACACAGCTCAGCCCCGTTCACGGCTCTGGCCCAGCTGCTGCTGCTGTGTTCATCTCCACACCAACACCTGCATAAGTGTTTGTCCTGTCCCTTGCCCACCTGCCACACAGCAGAGATGTCACAGCACACAACAGGGGCTGCTGCTTCCCTGTACTCATTTCCATGAGGTGTGTAACTGCCTCAAGGACACATCACTGTGAAGCCCAAGTGCTTTTAAGATAAAGATCCAATTGAGTCAAAACAACCCATTTTTTAAAAAAACTCTCCAGATGTGTTTCATAGATGCATTCACAAAATACAGGGAAGAGTAAACCAAAAGCAGAGGCAAAGGAGGCAAACCAAACCTCTTTGGGCTGCCATCTAAAAACACGACCCCTTGCCCAGGCAATCTTACACTTGAGAAAATACAGAGAACTGTTGCATAAAACAGCAGAGGGAGACGTCCTGCTCCTTTTAAAAACCAAATGCCAGGCACCTATTCTGGGAAATAAACCCTGCAAGCTTAAATTCAGGCCCAGTGTAGCATCATTTCAGTAGCAAGTCCTGTCTGGATACATGTAAACTTGAAAAGCAACAAACTCTAAACCTGGGCATTCCAACCAGCTGTCAGCAGTTACCTAATTTAGCTGGGAAACATTATCCACATTGCTTCCTAACTTAAATGTCAGTATTTCCCACACTTTACACTCTTAAGAGGCAATATGTGCCAGTAGACAGGTGAACTGTAAACTTCCAGAGGTTTCAAGATCTCCTCATTAAACTCATCTACTTTATGGAATAAAAAGAGATTAGTTTAGGGAAAAAAAAAAATCTTCCTAGTGAAACACTTTCAAGTAAAATCAAGGCTAAGAGCAGCCTTGGTAACAATGACCTCCAAGTAACTGAAAATAAAACCATTCATAGAGATGTCTGTTCTGATATAGATGCACACTGAGACAAAAAACTAGGAAAAGTTTGTGTATCTCTTCCCAGCACTTCCCAGAAACTGTAAGGATTTTAAAAAGGGGAAGAAGAACAAGTGCTGTTGAATCAAAGGAGTCATCTTCAATTCCTGGCTGTGACATACCAACATCTCTGATGAAGTTCTGGGGTCTGTGTCCTGTATCCACAAAGTGCTGGCAGTAATCATTGTGTGGATTTAAGCTCTGAGTGCCCTGGAGAACAGGAAGAAGTTCAGTGAGAGCAAGAGGGGATAACTGGACATACACAGATACACTGTATGTGTCAGTCTGATAAATGAGAAAGCAGATTGTCTTTTTAACATGATTTTTTTAAGCTTCACTCATCAAGACCATCCTTTTAGCTCCAAACCAAGCCCACCATTCCTGCAGCTCTTTGTGAGCTGCCTCAGAACAATGCAAACACCAGTTACAGTCAGATCTGTCACAGGCAACTTCTGCACCTGTGAGTTCCAAGCCAACAGTTCAGCTTTAAAGCAGTATTTCAGATCCCAGCAGTTGCAGAAACAGTTTAACACAACTAGTCCACCTTTGACTACCCCTCTTCCAATTGCAGAAGCAGCTCACCTTAAGAAAGGTACTGGAATCTTTGTAAATCTCTTCTTCATAGGGCAGGTTTTCTTCATCTTGCTGCAGCTCTACTTCATCCTTGGAAACAGAGCAGGGTATTACAAGTGTGCATACAAGATTGAGCTGTTTCTGTCCTTTCCTTAAGAAGCAGAATCATAATGAGAAGTGGGCTGCCTACAAACAGCAGATCCAACTCCAGTGCTGGAGAGGGGAAAAAAAACACCCATTCCCCAAGAAGTCTGCACCTGTCTCACTAATGAGGAGAGTGTTACTGGGAAAGGCCCCTGAAAGAAGGGAAAAATAAGAACCCTTTCACTTCCAGCCCCTGACAGTGCTTTACAAGGTGTAGAACCTTACATTTTTGTCCCACCAAACTTTCATTCCTTGGACTGAAAGTATGTATTTTGTTGAAGTTCTTCTGCAGCAGAACTTCTGAGCATTTATATCCACCCAATCATCTCTTACTTGCCAGTTTTAGCAAAGCCCACGCTTGGCAGAAACAGCTCATGGTACAAGTCAGTATTTCATCTAGACTGTCCTTAAATGTAACTTTAACATTCCTATTCTATAGCCCAAAATTTACATTAAAAATATCTAGAGAGCCGCTGACTTTTCATTCAACAGATTTCTGGGATTCAGAGATCTGTTACACCCATATGTACTCTGAACATCCAACAGAGAACTCGGAACAGAAACTCAAGAGAGGCTCACCTCACATCACTTTCTGCCTTCCCACTGACCCTGGATCAACCCAGTACACAGATTTATAAAACACCCAAGTACAACTGAAGAACTACTAATTGATATCACCTGCCAGATTATTACAGCTCTATTTACCTTATGCTAGCTACATAAGCTATCTGAATGCAGAATAAAAACCAAAATGTTGTCCCTCCCAATTCTCCCAATTCTGATCTCTCTAAACATCAAAATCTTTATCTGTTATTTCCACAGTGGAGCTTTGAAACAACTTCTGAAATGCCTGATGTGATAAATGGGTCACAGATTCCCCTTCCACCATTTCAGGTGATGAACTCAGAGATACAGTCTTTTTGCTTGTCTGTTTAACCAGATCAAAAAAAAGATATTACTATCAGAAACAGCAGGAGTGTTTGCAAGGAAAAGAAATGTACAGACAAGCAGCAGCGAGTGTTATTCAGGCCAAAGAAAAAAGCTGAAAGGTTGAGTTTTACTAAAAACTGCTTATGCCATCCTAAGTTACACCTGTTTCCCTCTTCCATCTTTCTTTAAATCTTGTTCTCCTGATGCTAAGCACTCATTAGATACCTGAGTCACCCCAGTTCTCTTTATGCCTTCATAAGTGATTTAAGAAAAGTCTTATGGCCACAAGCAAAAGCCCACACCACCAACTTTCAAAGGTAAAGGACACAGTCCCAGCAGAGACAGAATGACAGCAGCAGTAACACAAGGTACTAGGTTCCTGTACATTAATTATCCCTATTTTCCAAATCATCTGCTACCGAGCTGCTGATCTGGGGAAACAGAAACTCCCCACAAGATTAAAACAGTTTGTTTGAAATGACTGGAGATACATGTAACCCGTGATTCAACCAGCTTCTTCAGCCTCCACAACAATGGCATGGAAACATCCCAGGCCTCCGCTTGCACAAGCCAAGCAGAACAGGGCAGTCTCAAATTTGGCTGGCAGACTGCAAAATAGAACCACAGGCGGTTTTGTACTCCACACAAAGTGAAAATTCCACACACTAGACACTCATACAGGTTCAAACAATGGAGTCAAATCACCTGGGGAAGGCAGCACGTGGAGCAGCACTCAGCTCCCAGAGGGTGGTGAAAAGCCTGCCAGTGGCAACAGAGATTCTAATCCCATTATAAATCATTTTCAAACACAGGGAGCTCAACTAACCCTGGGACAACTGTAACAATTCCACAAGGAAAGACTATTTTAGGAGTTCTCCAAAACCACAACTCAACTTTCTGACTTCAAAATATCCATTATTCATTTTTCCTATAGTGTATCTCTTCCCTATCACCCATACCCCAAGGCTGGCATGGCAGAGCCAGGCTCCAAGACTGGAGTCAGTGCTGCCCTTTGTTCTCACATCAGCCTGAGCCTTATCAAGTACCACCACTATAAATTCACACTTAATCTACAAAAAAATAAAAACAGACATACAAATAATAATAAAAAAATCACCAAAACACATTGCTTTTTTTCTTTTTTGCATCAGATGTGCCTACATGGCTGAGAAAAGTAAAATACTTCACCTTTTATCTCAAAAACTGCTCTCACTCAGGTTTGAGGGTACATTCATTTTGACCAAATCTGAAGCCAGGGTACAGAAATTTTACATCATTTCAGAAGACTTACCTGATCCTGTCACATAGAACCAAACACTGCAAGTCAGGGACATAGACACAAGTCACTTCACATCAGAAATACCTCTGATTTCCCCAACAAAAACAGCAAACTTGGACAACTTGTCCACAACGCTGCTAGTTAAGTCATTATTGCTTTTGTCTAAGGTGCATTAAACACAATACAGTAGGGCTTGACACCTTAAGGATCCAGATTTTTGTACAAGTTCGTATTACAGGACTAAATTTAAGCAGGCTCAGAGAGCTCAGGAAAAAGTTACATAAATGCAGATGGAATTTTACTGTTCTCATCTCCTTGCCAATAAGGAATTAGCAATGCCTGCAGGAAACAGCTGATGACTCCACTATAGATGTTCTGCTCTGGGGTTTCAAGTTTCTTGAGTCTGCTGATCTGCTCGACTGAATCTTTTCTGAGCTAGTGTTATTAAAATATTCCTCCATTTCAACAATACAGAAAAAGTCTGGCCACTTGGAAGTGGTTACAGCCCACCTCAGGGTAAGTCTTCTCCACAATGATTAAGAAAATCTCAATGGTGGGATTCATGTACTTTGCCAACCCAAGTGACTTATCCATATATACTTCATAGGTATTTAAAATTTAGTTCTTCAACCATGTACTTGGTGAAGAAGTAAAATTAATTGATATTAATTGATCACTAATGCAAGAATAAAAACGCTGCTTCACAAACACCCTTCTACCTCATGGTAACAATTTCTTCACTGAAAAGGATGTACAGACTAACACTTAGCAGGTTAAAAATAACATCTGTCCCTTTACAGAGAGACTTTCAAAATAAATCATCAAAAACCATCCTATCATACATGAACTTTTTAGTTTAGTAAGATAAAAGATGGACATTATTACAGAAAGATTAACAAACCTGAACAGAAATGAAACACGACAAAGGCTTTGTATTTAAGAAACGACTATTTCAGGCATCCAGGAGAATAGCATACACTGCACTATTTCATAAATACACTGACATGGATTCGATTTAACCACAGAAACAAGGTTATTAGGACATGGAAAAGAGGGAGGAGGACATACACTGCAACCAGATCCCAAAGCAAATCATAAAGACAGCTGTATCATAATCATGCCTTTGTTTAATCTCTTTCCATCTCTCATCTTGGCCAAAACATTACCTTAGGAGAAAGCTGTCAAATAGCTTTGGGATGAGCATTTGAAAAGTGAAGGGCATGATAGTTTGACACTTCAATGACCATGCAGGCATTTTGGTTTGTTTTTTTCAACCTAACTCTTCCTGGACATTTTGGACACTTAAAAGTATACCCTGAACCAAGCCTCTTACTTCCAGTTCCCTTAGAATCCCTTGTTTCTTCCCAATCATCCAGAACTGCATTCCTTAGCACTGCACGGATGAATCAGAAGACACCCTTAGCCTCCCTTGTCTCATTCCATGGCTAACTGCAAGCTTTCCTTCCGACACAATGAAATTCTGGTCAAGATTCTTTCTGTCTGTACCCAAGCACACACATTTTACCACCTCTTCCCACAGCCAGCCATGGCTTGGTGCTGTTCCCTGTGGGCACTCACACCTAGGCCTGCCTCCTCCTAGGAGCAGCAGTAATTAAGCCTCCACACATTTGGGTTTGGTGAGTGTACCTATGTCTATGTCACACCTGAGGTGAACCGTGTAGCACCTGTGTCCTCTTACACTTCTGCAGTGGAAGGCATCAAGGGAGATGCCACTGTGGAACACACACATTAAATGATCTATACAAATCACACTTACTTGAATATGCACACACATTTTCTAAGCACCTCAGGGACTCAATACCAAAGTTATTTAACTGTTTCCTCTTTTTCTTACCTTATATTCTTCAATCTCTTCCTCATCAGCTTCTCCCTCATCTGGATATTTACGTTTTGCATTTGGTGCAGAGGTATCATAAGCAGCCCTAGGAAGAGTGAAAAATCCTCATAAAAAAGTTTTGGTCTCCAAAGAAAAGTGTTAGGAATCTTGATAATTTGCCTTGACTGCATGTTAAAAATATGAAACTATTTCAAATCATCATACATGAAAAGCTGTTTCCCTCTCAGTATATTTGAGTTCACCACAACTTATTTAGGACAGAACTCTTGAAAAGAGTCATTCCCTTGCCTTTCTCGTTTTTCTGCTCAGAAAAGTAAAGCTTACTTTAACCAATGCACTGCAGCTACAGAATTAAGCTCATTCCTCTCAATTTTTCTGCTGTAAAAGGTAAAGCTTGCTTTACCCCAAAGCAGTTTCTCTACAAAATTAAGCCTGTTCACACACACAAGTGAGAACTGATAAGCAGTAGCTGCTCTGCCCTAGACATATCCGTAGTTTCACGAGAACTTTCAAACTGAACTGTGCTGACTTGTGCTTAGCAAAAGCACGAAAGGCTCTGGGACCCAAGCAGACGGCCCATTCTAAATGCAGATCTCGGTTTTCCTACAGAGTAGCTTTTTAACACCAGAAACAAAGTCAGCCCGTATTTCCAAGCTGCTCCTAGAAGGGAATAACTAGACCCTACTCGCCTTAGTCGCGGCTCTGAGTTGACTAATTATGGAATTTTCTTTCACCGAGCGCAATCCCATCGCATTTCCCGGGCCCGTACTCCCATGGAGCCCCAGCCGCGCACAGCCACCGCCCTCCGATACCGACCTGCAGGTCTCCCTGGTTTCCGCGATCTCCCGCTGCTCATCCTTGCTGTTGAGCACGGCGCCGATGCTGTCGGCGTTCTCGGCCCCCAGCTGCAGACCGGGAAACACAAAGTCACTCCGCGGCCGCCCCGGCCCCGACCCCCCCGCAGGCCGCCCTGGGTCCCGCCTGGCCCCGGTGCCCGGCTGCTCCCGGCCGTACCTGCTGCGCCAGGAGCTGGCGGCGGAGCTTCTGCCGCTCGCGGATCTCCTGCAGCCGGCTGTTCATGGCCGGCACCGGCACCAGCCCCGCTCCCGCCGCCGCTTCCCGTCCGCGCGTCACTTCCGCGCGCGCAATTCCCGCCGGGAAACGCCGCCGGCAGCCGGGCCGTGCGCGCTGTGTCTGTGTGTGTGTGTGTGTGTGTGTGTGTGTGTGTGTGTGTGTGTGTGTGTGTGTGTGTGTGTGTGTGT